GGTGCCGGTGCCGGTGCTGGTGCTGGTGCTGGTGCTGGCGCTGCTGCAGCTGCTGGTGATGGCTGAGGTGCCGATGATATGAGTATCCGTGATGTACCAAAGATTTGATAACGAAGACTACTAGTGATGACTTTTCAGCATAAAATACAATATTCAGCAAAGGTAGCAAAGGTTTGGGGTCAGAGGCTGGTCTGGTGCAAGGATCATTAGACGGATAATTCGTTGGTAGGAGCCACAGCGGGGCCGAAAAATTCTCGGAAGCTTCCAGAGTGACAAGATGCTGCGCGAGTGCGAACTCCGGCGCAAAGCACGGGCAGCTACAGCGAGCACCTCCAAATTTCTTGGGGTTTAGGGTTCAGAGTTTGTGGTTTAGGGTTTCGGGTTTAGGGTTTAGGGGAAAACTGATTCCTTCTTCAGGGATCCCATAGAACAAGGAATGGACAAGAAACACACAGTCCGGCCAGCTCGCACAATCTAATTTGAGAAATGGTGGTCTCGTCATCTGACCCCATGGCTCCCCAGCGCGTCTGCGACTCAGCTTCTTTCAGGCTTAGGCTTGGGGTTTTGGGTGAGTAGCAGTGGAGGCGAGACCCTACGGGGAAGTTGCCTAGGAATCCTGCTCAACCAATTCTTGACCAACATCCCTAATTGACCGTTCCAGGGAAGGTATATAGTACGCAAGCTGCAAACCATGCACCCAGCGGTGCTGCATGTATCATGCAGGTAGGTGTGAGGAGTAAGCATCAAGACTTGAGCTTTGATGGGATCCGTTTCCTAGCAAGGGCTCTGATGGTTTAGGGGTTTAGGGTTTAGGGTTTAGGGTTTAGGGTGTGCACCTTGAGGTTTGGAGCATAGGGGCGTCATATTTTCTCAATCAGGTGTCGGGGTGTCACTCATGATAATCACAGAAGGGGTTACAGGGTATAAAGGGCATATGAGTAGTATTTTATTTGGGAATATTATGGTACCCATTATAGAGTAAGATGATATCCTCCTTTCGGGGTATAGCATTTTATATAGGGACTCTAATCTTACTAGGTTCAACTACCAAAAAACACTACTCATATGTTTCTCTCTCAAGTTTTAGGCCCCAAAACCCAAACCCCAAACCCTGAAGCTTAAACCCTAAAGCCTAACCCCTAAACCCTACACCCGGGAGGATGCATTGTTTTTGTGCCGGCCAAGTGCTGGCTTCCAAGGATCCGGGTATTCCTGGAAAGGAGGATCCCCTGTACCAGGGGTAGGAATGAATTTAGGGTTTAGGTTTGCAGGGATCTTTTGTTTTTGGCCCTTAATCCTTCTGTAGTCCCCACGAAGACCAAAAAAAGTAGTTTTCAGAGGGCTCCGCCCCCCAAACCTACCCCAGTGTAGTATTCTGCTGAGCATGAGGATTCTTGTTGCTATGGTCGCTAGTCGAGAAACTTCCGTGGGGATACTTGCCCTGCTGTTGACGTTGCTTGTAGGTAGTCTCCGGGCCGTTCAAGGGGTAAGCCCTAAACCCTAAACTATCTCCAACAAACCTTACTGTCACCTTGTCCCTTTAACCATTCTGCTCCAACCTCGTGGGTTGTACCCTGGCCCAAACCAGCGTGGATCCCTACAGTTGTCCTCTTGAGCTGGGCAGTAGCCCTCGCAGCACTTTGTTTTGGGGCGCGTTTGCGCCGAAGGTAGCTCAATCTAATACCTCTAGCCCCAAACAATAAAAGCCAAGTAAGCCCTAGACTACCCCATCCAAAATCCCAAGCCCAAATCCTAAGTGCAACACTTTAAACTCCAAAACCCTGAAAGCCAAGTAAGCCCCAGACGCATAATCTCTAGATAAGCCCTATAGAAGCCCTATAGAGCCCTATATAAATCCTCTTACCCTGAACCTGCAGGTATCGAAGGTTGAAACCATGTGCCCCTAGTATGGGGCCCTTAGTCCTGGGATGCTAATATACATACTATATACCCATTATGTACCCTTAAGGGTCTCTAGAATCCCCATGAAAGGCATAAGGGCCCATTTTAGGGGCCATACCTCCAACTTTAGATGCAGATGCCCTAAACCCTGCACCCTTAAACCTTAAGCCCTAAGCCCAATACTCTTAACCCTTAAACCCTTAAGCCTCAAACCCTAAACCTCCAAGGTTCCTGAAAATAATTATTAATTTCTGTTACCAATAATCCTAATATCTAGCTGAAATTATAATTTCTACTGGGGTTCCAAATCCTGGGTTGCTGTTAAGGAACTTCAATTAAGTTATTATGTTGGGGGAACCCTATTATTTACTATATATACCCATTATGGTAACTTAATTTAAGTTCCTTAACAGCAACCCAGAATCCCTTAGGAAAACCCCCAAGTAGACTCAGCCGAGGCGATGCCTGGCGAAGGTTTTTCTGAAGCGGATGCCGCTTGCGCTGGGTGCACAGTTGGA